TATATATAATGTATATATTTTCTTGTATACTGCATAGAATTAGGACTAAGCTTACAGATTTCAGTTAACATTTACACATTTATAACTAGGAATAGAGTGTAGAATTGAACTTGACTTAAAAAAATTTGCGGTCCAAATAGGCCAGGATCTTGTAATAAAATTTCTGATATGTTTCATGGAACAGAAAATGGGGGAATAAGATTAGACTAAACTTATTTCTACATGGAGAGATTATAGTTTAGGATGCCTTAGAACTGTGCTTTTGACCACAATATTACGGACTGGGAAGATTACAACAAATTTTGACATGATATGACAATACTTGTTTTTGAAAATTTACTGTAATTTACATGTCTCTATCATGGAGGAAATCCTCAATGTACAACCAAATCGTTATTTTCTTTAACCTGCCCATTGAACCTAAATGCTGAACCAAGCACCCGTAATCACAGTGGGTTATGGCATCCTTTGAACAGCGAGAGGTCACTGGCAATTTTATTCTTTGATTTATATATATTTTTTCCTTTTTTTAAGCAGGAAAATGAATCACACATTTTGATAGAAAAAAAATAATGAAAACTATTTTTGCCTTCTATATAAGATAATGCTTGATTGGCCAACCTTATTTGACATATGCTGATTTATTTGATTTATTTTATACTGAAGTATTATACGGTGCAGTGTATTATATATAAATGTGCTATTTTTGAATGTGAGGTTATAGTATGATGGCAATTGAAATATTATGAATAAAAATGGGATGACCCCGCAAAAGATAAAAAAAAAACTTTTACAACAGAAAATTATTATTTTTGGTCCTATAGTCCGACCACCTTGTCGTTGGTGTGGAACGACGTTTTATGTACGTTCTTGTCCACGTACGGGAGATTCCTCTGACCCCACCCACGCTGGTCCCGCCACTACTGTCTACACAGAAAGTCATCGTTTGTAAAAACATAACATTATTATTCATTCTTTACACAAAGTTATGTAAAGGCCTAATGTGTAGAATTGTTTGGCATGCAAAGTAGGACTATCTAAATAAGGAGTTTATGAAATAATTTTCTATTAAACGGCCGAACATTAATTAGTTTAAGGAATATAAGTAGTTTAGCATAATTGTTATTATTGTTATTATTATGATTATTATTTTTTTTTAATTATTTTATTGTTAATTTTTTATTGTTATTTGTATTTATCTCGGTTGTCCTAAATTATTTTTGTGTAAAGCGTGTATGGGCAATGTCCAATATGCGCTGTATAAAAAAACATTATTATTTTTTTATTTTTGTTATCATAACGATCGCTAGTTTTCATTAGGTCTACACACACATAATAAAAAAAAAACAATGGGGTCTTTATGAATAAAGAGGAATATTCGGTCTCTTATACACATCTGATCAATTTCGTGCAACGGGATTGCCACTTGAAGAGTGATAAAGTTCAATGTTTCGCATATCCTTGGCCCTAGTGCCTAAACCTGAATAAAAATGGAACCAAGCTGGAATTCTATAGCATATTCCAAGTACACAGCACATGGTAATGCAATTGCTTTGAGTTAAAACCCAACATACTTGTTGCCTTAGACAATTGGGTTCTAAGAAATAAGGATGATAAGTAAGGATGATTGTGCTTGATGGGATAAAACAATTACAAAAGTAATTAATCCGAGCACTGATGATTTTCATTGATTTTTATGGGTCCCTAACAAAACAGCTACCCAAAGAACGGAACCTCAAAATTGCGCTCTCCAATATATATCTGTCACAAGAAAAGTTTTGAATTTAATTAAGGGCATGCCCACGAATTTACCTAGGAGGGTTTGAGGACTTAATTTTTGAAAAGAGGAGGATTTTAATGCGTGAAAATGCAGGTTTATCAAATATTTAAGCATAATTGTAAACTTTTATGCAAATTTGAGTTGACTATTATCATAATTATATTATCATGTGCAAAGAACGTTTTACAGAATGTAGATTATGTATGATTGATTGTATACATTTAAGATTATTTCAATATATGTAGTAATATTTAAATCAAGGGTACTGTAATTCCCTTTCGTTCTCATAAAATTAAAGTGATATTGATATCTCTGTTGAAAAAATCTATTCAAATGTTACTTTTTCTTAACAAAACACATTAACACTCATAAACATCATAAACTGAAGAACATTTTGTTAATAAAAGCACCTAGATCATACATCTTCAACTACACAAATTCTACAAGTTTTAAATACAGAAAAAAATACTATATTTTGTAATATGACCATTTAATCATAGAGATTTCAACTTCAATTTATATTAGATCCACTCTAAGAGAAGATTGAATATTCGTCAAAGCCTACTAGAGCAAATATTTTACTCTGTACCTTGAACAGTAACAGTTACGCTGCATGTGTCGGTATTGCCAGACGGGTCTGAAGCTGAAAATGTTATTGTATGCGTTCCAATGCCAAGAGTTCTTGGAATTGATGGATCAGTAGATATACCAATCGATTCTCCTGAGTTATCGGATACCGTGGGGGAAGGGATATCCACAGTAGTATTTACTTCGCCGAAGTCAGTGTAAAATGTCGAGTTAGCTGCACATACTAATGAAGGAGACTCTTCATCTAAACGAAATAAATAGCAATGTTCAAACAACGTAAAACTTTTCATATAAACAAGCAAAAACACAAAGTTCGAACAGGGATAAAATGTTCGAATGACGTAAAAACTGACAGTTTATAACAAAATAAAAATTAAATATTATTTTTTAAAGCTTTCTTGCCGAGAAGCATCTACCAAAGAACGTGTTTTTACCTGTAACAGTAACCATAACGTCACAAACACCTGAATTCCCAGCCAAATCAGTAGCTGTAAACGTCACGTTATGTGAACCAATAACAAGATCTGCTGGCATTGATGGGCTGCTTGTAGCAACGATCTCTTCCCCTGAATTATCAGATACACTGGGTGGCATAATGTTTACTGTAGCTGTTGCCTTACCAGTATCTGTTTCGACTGTAACATCGGATCCACATATCAAAACTGGTGATTCCACATCTGTAGTTACAATAAATAAATGAATAAATAAGTAAGGGATTCTGTTCACTGATCTCTACTATAATAGCTAGGTTGCTCATTGACTGGTCTTAGCGAAACCACCGACGTTATATTGGGGAGTCTAAAACGTCACAAATACGTCATCACAGCGTAAAACTTTTGAACCGGCATGACGGGCACCAACAACGCGACATCACTTGAGTGGTTAGGCGATTTGAAAAAAAAATCATTACGTCAAATTTAATGATGTTATTAAAACATATTGCAAGAATCGTTATTTTTAAAAATAATTTAAACAAATTAATGCAACCAAAAAACTTGTCTAGACTAGTACGTCACTTGGGCTCTTGCGTATGGCGTCGATGGCTTCAGTTATTTTCTGTACATTGATTAAAGTAGAGATCAGTGATTCTATTGTATTAATGAAATTAATATTATTAGGGATATATTGTCTCGACGACGACAACGGGAACGCCAAGTTTACAACGGACGTGCGGAAAATGGTTAATATACTATACAACTATATACTATTGCAAGAATCGTTATTTTTAAAAATAATTTAAACAAATTAATGCAACCAAAAACTTGTCTAGACTAGTACGTCACTTGGGCTCTTGCATATGGCATCGATGGCTTCAGTTATTTTCTGTACAATGAATAAAGTGGAGATCAGTGATTCTATGGTATTAATGAAATTAATATAATAGGGATATATTGTCTCGACGACGACAACGGGAACGTCAAGTTTACAACGGACGTGCGGAAAATGGTCAATATACTATACAACAGAAATTGAACGATGCAAAGTATTTTTTCGGTACTCCTGAATTGGATTAGCCTGTATATTCATCAATCCACCTTTCTTCTACCTATATTTTTCTATTATTTTCTACACCTGGGACTTATTATTATGTTTTCAGTTTTTGGACTATCAGACATTTCAGTTTTTGGACTATCAGACATTAATTTCTTGAATAAGTTGTTGTAGGACCTTGGGTTCTATGATGACGTTTCATCTTGTGCGCGTTTTCAGGTATGGTTTGCCCCCCCCCCCCTCGTAAAAAAAGTAGAAACTGTTCAAATCCAAACTCCAAAGCATTTAGTTTGATCATGGTTTAATAACAGTTTCATATCGTTTTAATAGCATACACATATTTAGAAACCAATAAAATTATAACAAACAGCAGTATTGCAAATTGGTATGGAGAAATGTCTTTGTTTTCACACGGCTGCTAACGGTTAGCAGGATCCAGATCCTGCTAACCGTTAGCTGTCGTGCGTCCATACGAGAAAATCCCGATCAGGATACCAAAAATATGAATATTGAATCACTGGCCAATAAGAAACTGGAAATTGTAAACGCGTACGTGTGATTGGTTGATGATAGAAACGCGCTCAACTTGCTAACCGATAGCGCTTGCTAACCGTTAGCTGTATCCGGATACTGCTAACGGTTAGCGTTAACCAAACGGTTAACGTGTATTCGGGATGATCAGAATAATACCTTACAAGGTTTGACAATAGTCGATAATATTATAATTAGGGCCTATATTAATATATTTTATAAGTCAGTGGTGACGTCATCACTTTCATTGGCACTGAATTTTCCTATTCCCGACTGATCACTACATCGATAGTGCCGCTTTTTTTTTTTTTGTGGGGAAAAAAAAAAAAAAAAAAAAAAAAAAAAAAAATTAAAAGCTGGGGTGACTTTACAACAGTTATATCGCGATGAAATATTTCATTGCAGTCCAAGCTATAAACGCATACAGTGAACCAAACAAATCTCGCTCTACGGCGCTGGTTAACATGAATAAAGCCTATATCGTCCTAGGCAATGTCTACTATACCGGGATGTTAGGCCTACCTTATAACCTCTAATGAACTTCATTAACCACAATCAATGTATTCATCTCCGGATCGCTAAGTATCGCGAAGAGCTGTGCGAAAAGTGTCAGTGTGGTACTACTTGGTACTACTAAGATATCATTCTTGCGCAGCTAATGCACACACACAGTGATCACTGAGACTGATGATATAGTATATATAGTATAGTATGATATAGGGCCTTGAGCTGTCGTAACAAAATGAGTCTTGTGGTACGCCAGTCAATTTGATATATTCAAGAAAATATAATATATATGATATTTTGACAAAAATTGGATTTCATAGTAGAAAAATTTCTGAGTTTCCTAAGGTAATCATGTTTTTGAGGCACATGGTGCAAAGCAATTTTTCAGAATTGGTAGGAAAACCAAAACAAAATGTATCAGTTGTTTATCTTTAGAGACGATTTTATGTGTTTTATACATATAAAATTTAAAATGATCTTACTCCGGTTTTACTCGACCTAGGCACATTCTTCAAAGACCAAAATAAAGCATATAATAGTCCTCTATATAGATATATTAATTACTCATTTTATTTTTTGTATCACAAGACTCATTTTGTTACTAAAGCTCATCTATAGCAACCGCTTTACAACCAGCAGTTTGATTATGAAAGGCGACGGACGTTACAATCTTAGGCACCATTATTTCCTTTAAAATTATTTCAGGAAATAATGGCTCCTTCGGCTTATATTTCCTATAGTGTACTCAAAACCTGACTATATTTGCTTCATATTACACAATAACAACCAAAATAACATAATGAATAAAATAGGTAGGTTTTTTCAGCTCTAAAATTATCATATTCACGATGTGGGTCAACTCGTAGTATTATATCCTGTCGACAATAAATACGTATAATAATAGGTTTACCTGGCGGCACATATATAGCATTTTCTGGTGGCACTCTGTTGTTACTTATTGTTGCCATTTCAAAAATTGTCACTAACTGAGTATATGTAGTTCCTGATTCTTTTGTTAAGTCTATGCGAAATTCAACTAATAGTCCTCCTGTAACCGCAATAGATTCTTCCAACATAACGTCAATGAGGTCTGTGGTTAAACTGGTTGTTTGCAGTAAGTTCTTCATCTGAAAATGATAAGTTTCGGGAACATAAGACAACGTAAACAAACTGACATTCCAAATCGTAAAATATTGTTATTAGGATATCTTTACCAATATTTTTTTTTTATTGGAGTTTTGCTGTCCAGAAAAAAAAAAAAAAAAAAATCTCTGTGTACTGGTACACACATAGGCCTATTTACTGCAGTAAAACACATTTCTCGCCATCTAAGAACCAACATTTTCCCGGGGGGGACCCCTGACCCCCGTTTGATTTGGGGTTCATCGATTTTTATAAAAAAGAATATGTATTCATCGACTCAATTTTTGTTATGTACTGTACATACACACATAGTACTAGGGCTACTAGTATTTACAGTAACGAGTATGAGAAGTTTACCTGACCGTTTTCAAGCTGAGGAAAAGCTTAACATTTAAAGAACTTAAAAGTCATTAAAAGACACCTCAGAAGTCGGGAAAGCTCATTTTCTGCTATCTAGTGATCAAATTTTTCCCGGGGAGGAGCCCCGGATTCCCCTTCCTCTTTGGGGTTATCCATTAATGGAAAAAAGATTACGTAAGCAACTCAATTTTTTTAAATGTACGTATACACACATAAATAGGCCTATTTACTGTAATAAGAATAAGAAAGTTTACCTAACCGTTTTCAAGGGGGGGGGGGGAAGACCTTGAATTTTGAAGAACTCAAAAGTCATCATAAGACACCTCAGAAGTCGGAAAAGCTCATTTCCTGCCATCTAGTGATCAAAATTTTCACGGGGAAGGACCCCCTAGACCCCTTCCTCTTCGGGGTTATCCATTCATGGAAAAACAACTTTCAATACAATTCTTGCTTTAGTTATCACAGCTTTAGCTTGAATAGTTAGTCAGTAATTTACATTTTAAAAGAGTAAGATTAAGATTTCAAAAGTTTATCTGACATGGTTAACAAACTAAATATTTAAGTCGCTATACCACTAACAGCATACTTACATTTGTGAAAACTAAATCTGTCAGTGATTAAGACAAGATTATTATAACTTACATCTGTAACTAGATTATCTTGCTCAGTTAAAGTCAAGTCGGTATCTTGTGTCACCATTTGGCCACCGATATGAGTGAAAATCACAGACAGATTCAAAGATATAGCGTCTGAAAATTAATACCGTGAAATTAATACTGTAATAAATATATAAAAGTATACGAAAGTAGCAAAACTACAAATCTCAATGTTTTATGAATATGGCCGCGATGAAGTCTCTGCCATTTTGTATTAAATCAAGATGATTTACATATTTTATTTCGAAGTATAATGTGTTTTATATTATATATTTGTCTTAACAAGAAGTGCTACCTGTACATATTCCAGATATGTTAGCATATCCTTCAAAACAACTGCACAAGAAACTTCCATCAGTGTTCGTACACATAACATTTTCACCATCACATGGGCTTGCATCCACGCATTCGTTTTGGTCTGATAAATGTAAATAAAAAATACATTTAATACATTTTACTAGAGAAATGTTTAATAGTGTATTTATTATTAGTCAAAAAGACAGGGAAATACCTCAAAGAATACAATTTTAAATAGCTAATTTAAAAGGATTAAATGATTTAATAACTTCAAAAAAGAAACAGAAAAAAACCAATTTTAACCGATTTTACTACAGAAACAAATGATTACCAGCCAATTTAAGGATCTATGCAAATGAATACAAGGAAG